GGAGGAGGAGGAGGAGGAGGAAACGGAGGGGCGGAGGAGGGGGAGGAGGGGGAGTAGGAGGAAATCGAGGAGGAGGAGGAGGAGGAGGACGAGGGGCAGGAGGAGGAGGAGGAGGAGGAGGAGGATGAGGAGGAGGGAGAGCAAAAGGAAGAGGAGAAGGAGGAGGCCCACAACACCTCGCTGTCTTCCTTCGGCGCGGGCCGCTTTACCGCTGCGGCGCCGCGTCCGCCCTCCGGCCGACCGCCGCGGGCGGCGGCCGGCGCCGCCTCGGCGGCCGCTGCGGGCGCGGCCGGCCGCTTCGGAGCGCCGCCGGCCTGTGCGGCCACGTCGGAGGGGGGAGGCCGGCGGAAGAGGAGGTCGGAGGGAAGGGAGGGGGAAGAGGGGGGGACGAGGCAGAGGCCGAGGTCGTTGGGAGGGTGAGGGCCAGGGAGAAGAGGGCGACGGAGAGGGAAGGCGAGGGTGGGGGGCGAGGGCGAGGACGAGATCGGAAGTCCTGGGCAGGAGCAGTCAGCACGGGATCGGGAGATCCGATCGGATCGGAACGTGTATCGAGTTGGACCGCATCGGCTCGGAGTCGGAATCGAGTCGAATCGGCGGCGCCAGGATGCATGAGCTGCGCGATTTCCCGACGCCTGCCCAGCGCCCATCACGAGGAGGGCGAGGGAGAGGACGAGATCCCGGACGTGCTCGCGTGGTGAACAATTCGCGACGGGATTGTTGGTCGCGGCGAGGAAGAGGATAAGATCGGAGGTGGGGTGCTGGGATCGGCGCGGGGTGGACTGGGGGGATACGGGAGCTGGAACATCAGCAGCACAGCGCTCAAGCCCATCAAACCGTATGAGAGTCAACTGGACCATTCGTATGGCTCTGGCTAAGGCCGTTCAACTGGAGGATTCGTGTTAAACCCCTTTTCGCAATTTCGCCATTTTGGCAATCGTGCTCCTAAATGCAGCGCGGGAGCACCAGCGAGAAAAAAAGAGGATGCCCCTCCGCACAGAGGGCATGGGGGGGTTCCCCCACACGGCCGATTCCTGCGCGACCTTCTCCCGAGACATGCTCGCGTCGTGAAAGAATCTGAGGAACAAATTGCTGGCCGTGTTCAGTCTCCAGGGGCCCTTGCCAGGCCCTGGTACCGTCAAAAAGCCGCTCGGAATGAAACACTGGCCCATAAGGAAAGGGTTGGGACGACCGAGGACCTCGTAATGAAAACAACAAGGCATCGCATGTCTGGGATTGGAGGTGGGGTGGGTGAGACCGAAGTGAACTGTGAGGTGCCCAAACCAGGAAATCGCTTCGTTTCGGGCGTGAGATGCCTGCGGGCGAGGCGAAGCCTGCGCGAGTTCCCGACACCTGCCCGGCGCCAAGCAGGAGGAGGGCAAGGCAGAGGATAAGACAAGATGAGGTAAGGCGCCCGCTCCGAAGCTCCGAAGACGAAGGACCGCTTGGCCAGCCGAGGCTCGCGAGGGCACCCACGGCAACTCCGTGCTGTGACGACTCCGGCGATGGCCTGTGAAACGGGCGTGGATCGCTCGACCTTGAGAGCGATCGGCGGCCTGGCGGTCGCCGCTGGCGGATGCCCCAGGCGGGGTTGGCGCCTGCTTAACCGAGGGCAGGGACACTACCAGGAGCGAGTCGATCACTTGCGAATCCAGATTATCTTTCTCAACCATCTGCCGACGATTGTCAAACGGGATCTGGGCCATCCTGCCAGCTTCATCTGCCGCCTGGTCAGCCGGGCGATTTGCTTGCCAGTGGGCCACTTCATGCCCTCGGGTACTGGCATCCTCGAGACTGAGATGGGAGCGAACGTGCCGCGCCTGGATGGGACGATCACCTACTGCTCTCCAGAATCTCTCCAGAGGAAACCTAGTTTCTTATGTTTAAACCTCGGAACCGCTCGTTGGCAACACCTTCGTTATCAATTGCGCAGAAAAATACCCTGCAGTGCATTGAACAGCTCTCAGAGTCGCAAGAAGTTCTGCTGCTGGGGCGGATTGGTAATCGATTCGCAAGGGTCTGAAGGCCCAGCCGGTGTGGTCAAGCTGGTCTGGGAGAATCGCAAAACCCCAGCCACTCCGACGAAGCCGAGGATCGGCCGAGTCGTCCCCCCCGACCCATCCGACTTAATCGCGCACCCCTCATCAAGTACTAGCCGTCCTGCTTGCAACTGCGGGCCGAGTCTCTCGGATTCCTTGATCGGGACTCCACGCAGGGAGTATGTCCAGGCCAAGGGCGGCAATCCTCTAAGCCGGAAGCTGGGTGCCTCTTGGCTACCGTCTACTGCTTGTTGAAATGAACTCGCTTGAAAACCCGAGATGTGGCGATTGGCAGGGCAACTCCATAGCAGGTGGACGGGCGTCTCTTCGGGTGCCCCGCGCCGTCGGCAATATGGGGGCCCCCAAAGAGGATTAGGGCCCAGGAGAGGCTCCGAATCTCAAGAACCACATAAGACATCTTGCTCCTCCTGCTCCCTAGCCGCGCGAATCCCTTGGTCGATCATGGAGCCGAAGTCAGCTTCCAACGCCTATGCCTGCGAACCTGTTGAGCGCTCGCTAGGGCGGAAGGGGCGTCGGGCTTCCACTCCAAGCCGACGGGGGCTGGCCAGGGGGCTCCAGAATATAGCATGTCTAGAACTGCCGCCTGATCATGGGCTCCCGTGGATTCTTTTCATTCAGCTTCAGCAGAGCGATGTGCATGTCAGTGCGGTCTCGAAGACTGCTGCCATGATAATGTTCGCTGGCTTCCCCCCGGGCTGCCTGATCAAGAGCCTCGATGAGAGCGAAATCGGGCAGTCCCTCGGGGCCGCATGCATGAAGGTCCAAAACTTCCCCATCGGGGGCCGTCCAGCTGTTTGATTAATCAGGAGGCAATTCTGCTCAGAGACGGCGCGCGACCACGGCGGTGCCAAAACCATTCACCCGTTCCCAGGGGTTGGCCGCATCTCCAAGCCTGTCCCGAGCGTGACCCCAAGCTACGCGGAGTCCGTGCCCATTGGTCTGCAGGAGTGCTGGCAAGAAGTGTGTCCATTCTCTGAGGACTCGTATGCGGGTTGAAACCGTCGGGCCATGGTGGGGGCCCTGAAAAGCGCACCGAAGAACAGTGGTGGCACAACCTCCTTCCCGTCTCCCCACTATGCCCGCCATCGCAGAGCGGGCTCGAAGGGCCATGGTGGGACTGACTCCTTGGGCTTCACACCCCCAGAGAACCTGGGGCTGCCGCCCCGTGCGAACTGGCCCCTGGCTCGCCCATCTGATTTAGGCTACGCGCTTGATATTGGAAGCTCGCTGCGATGCTTTGGCGAATCGCTGCTTCAGTGCTGCAACTGAGCGAGCTTTGCCTACTGCGCCTATGCTGGCGTCCTTGCCTGACGTGCCACCTCGAAGAATGTGGGCAACCGAAACGAGAGCAGGAAGCGCCTGGGAAGCGAGAGCACTAAAATTAGCAAGGACCTGGCTTTTACTGGAAATCGGAAAGCCAATGGACTTGAACATTTCGGCGAGGCCAGAGCAAGCTTCTACAGCCTGTTTCACGATGCGTTCACGGCGGCCAACGTGCCTTTGGCTGAGATCATCCACCCAGGATTCCAAAGCCAAGAGCCGATAAGCCGCATGAGCCGCCTTCAGGACATCCCAGAGCTACTTTGGAGACGTCGACGCTGTGGGGGCAGCCGGCGTAATCTGATCGGAAGCCTGCAGCCCCTCCGAGGCGCTCTGTGCATGTCCGGAGCTAGGAACATATGCATTGAGGGATACTCTACTCGCTGGGCGATATTCACGACCGCTTCGAGCTGAACATGATCGTGGAATTTCTCCAAGTCCCAGGGAACGTGGGCCCAGCTGAACCCCTATGGCCGAAGCCACTTCGCACTGGGTCAGCCGAAGGAGGGCCGCTCGCAGGGCTGAGGAGTCTCGGGTAGCTTTGTCCCACAACCGCGCCCAAGTGGACGACCAGTTTGACGTGATGCACCTGCGCGCCCTGCCCCAGACCCTGTGGAGACCTTGGGCTGAAGCAATTGGGCGACCTGCAACTGCACTTTTTTAAACATGAGCTGAAGCACTCCTAGACGGAGCTGTGGTGGCCAGGCTTATTCAGATTCGATTTCCTCGAGGATCCGTTGGAGCTCCTGGAGGGCACCAGGAGGCAACTTGAGCCAATCCCGAGGATCCTGAAAATCTGCAACTTGGCCCGCCGAGGCTTCGAAAACACTTGAGGGCCTCCTCCGCCTGTTCCACCGAGAGCGGTTCGCGCTCTGACTGGTCCGATTTCGCCAGCCCGCGGAAATGCCCCCCCCGCCAGGGCGGAGAAATTTCTCGCGATCCAGCTTGCCACGCATCCGCCCGCCTCCGAGCCTTCGCCCCCGGAGCCTCTCCTGGATGGACTACTATTTCACCTGGCGAGTCAAGCTCGCAGCCGAGCTCGGCGAGATCTAACCCCCACGTCTTGGCGTGAAAATGGAGAGCTCCGCCCCCGCTCGAGATGTAGTCCTGCATCCATTGCTTGAAACTCTTGAAGGGGGCCCTTTAAAAATGCGTTTCCAGGGGGCGCAGGAGGAGCGAAAGCTTGCGCAGGCTGGCCCCCAGGTCCTTCCTCGACGCAGCTGGCCCAGAGGACCCCAGAACTTCGAGCGCAACTTCCTCTCGTCTCTCACGCCGGAGGCGTGGCAGGTTGAAAGCGTGCTGGCAGGCCGTCGAGAAGGGCGCGGAAGCGGCCTGGGTGGGGCGTTCTTTCCTCGGCAAGCCTTTCTATTCAGTGCGCCGAAGATGCAGCGCCCGCCAGACTGAAAGATTGGAAGTCCCTGCTAACCACCCATTCAAGTTTTTTCGCAACCGGAAGGACTTCCCGCGCTTGAGGGCGCCAGCCACGGCGCGTGCTGGCGTCTTGAGAGTGGCTTGACGCGTCGCGCTTGGCGTGGCAAGACCCAGCAGATAGACGGAAATGCATCCGCGCTTGACCTGGGCCTCGGGCTGACGGGGGCTCCTGCTGCCACTGGGGATCTTCGAGGCCCCCCTGCAAGAGCCCCTGGCGCGCCTTTGGTGGAGCTCCCGGGGCAAATCAGACCCCAGAGCACGCGCCAGAGGAGGCGGCTGAGCGAAGACCGCGCGCAATTGGGGAAAACTGGAGACCCGAAGAGCCCCTTCGGAAGCCTGCGCGAGGTTGGGCCCAAGGCGAAAGGGGTCCCAGGTGAGCTCGAGAGCCTGGCGGAGGGCCTCAGAGACCAAGCAAACAGCAATGAGACGGGCTCCTCCTGGGACCTCACCTTTCGGGGCGCAAAATTCTCCGGGCAAAAACAGGTCCAGCCCGCTATCAGCTACTCCCTGGATCTCCACGTTCCAGTCGCCTGCCATGACATGCGGTTTGCCTTGCGCCTTGACATGGCCCGCTGCTTCTCCAAGAAGCGTCGCATTTTCGCCTTGGCCCGAGCCCGAGACGCAGTGGAGCGCCACGAAAGCCATGTCAATTTCGGCCATGCGGATAGCGTGGCTAGTCCACTGCGTGGGCCCGACAGGCCTCCTGGATTGAGTCTTGCTTTGGTCGCAGGCAGGAAGGGGCGATTATGCAAACGACTGCGAACCAAGGACCACGCACCTCCATGAAATCCACCGCCGGAAGTACAAGCTGCAGCCTGGGAAGGTGCTTTCCATTCAAACTTCCTGAGCTTCTTGATGGCTTCAATGTGACGTGGGCCTTGCATATGATGCCTAGTCACAGGAATTATTTCAGAAGCTTGCAATCCACCCGAATCAAGCTTCGCGAAAGCCTGCTGCCCCGCCACCATCGAGGCGGCCTTGCTCTCTTGGCCTCTCCGAAGGCAGCCTGCGCCGCCTCGCGGAAGATGGTGAGCACCCTGGCTTCGCGTGAATCCAGCTCGGCCTGCTCCTCCTTCGAGAACTCCGAGCCCTCGTCTGCCAGCCCGAATATGCCATTGTCGTTGAGCTCGACCTCGCCCCCTTCCAGCAGCAGCGCCAGGACGAGGGACGTCTTGGCGGGCGGCTGCGCGGGCAGCGCAGGCTGCGGACCGCTTGCAGGTAGGCCTTCTCGCACTCCTGGAACTGGCAGTGCGCCAGGACTGCCTGATGCTTCGCCAAGCGAAGCTGCTCCTCCAGCTTGCTCGTCGCCTGCACCGTGCGGTCCAGCTGCTGGCGCGCCTGGGCCATGGTATGCTTGGCCGCACCCACAGTGGGTGGCGGGGGCGGCCTCGAAACCGCCTGGAACTTGGAAACCTGAAATTTGCAGTGCTGAAGCTGTCGCTGGTCGCCGAGGGCCTCGAAGGTTGTGACCAAATCGCGGAGCCGCAACCCTTTTTGCCCTGGGCCTCGGCCTGCGCCTCTGCTCCCAGCCATCCCGAGGCCGCAATCTGCAAACCTGGCTGCGCGGCGGCGGGCGGGGTGGTGGCCCCGCGCTGTGGGCCGGGAAAAGGCGCAGGCTGATACGCCCACCCTCCTCCTTGCGGTCCTGGCACAGCGGGGGGCCTACGAGACCAGTTACCACGAGGAGGATCATGACGCCAAGGAGGGGTAGGACTAGCTTTGTCTTTACCACAATGTTTGTACCACGTCCACCACGATTCATTACGCTGACAACCACACTCGCTGCAACGCCAACACTTCCCGAGAGGTGTCTTAGCTTGGATGTGGCCATCCTTTGGCATGAACGCGACAAGCACCCATAAGGCCACTCAATGACACAGCTTAAAAGAGGCAGGGTGAGCCAAATACCGTATCAGAAAACTGATAGATCGCTGTCGGGGGCCGCGATTATCCCCTACACCACAAAAGCTCAAAGCTTTGAGCCAAACTGATACGGACTTGAGCCAAAATGGCTACGGTTCCTCCCTGCTTCTCCTCCTGGGGCCCAAGCCGAGCGCGTACACCGTTGCTATCGCATCGCGCTCGGCGATCAGGGGGTCCCATGGGGCCCGCACCTTCGGTGGCAACTCAGGGGAGCCTCCCACACCATCTTGTCGGCTCTTGCGAATCGACGCTAAATCGGCGCTATCTCATCGCCTCCCAGACGCTAATCGACGCTCATCGTCGCTGAAGACAAAATTAAAAGGGTATACAACAAGTCCGTGTCGAGACGACCCCGGCGTTGGTTCCTGACACCGCGTGGATCGTTCAGATTTGAACGATCGGTGGCCTTTTGATCGCCCGATCGTTCCATGCAGGCCGATTCTGGGCCACTGGCACGCCCGCGGCGGGGTCGCCGCTGGTTGACACGATGCGAAACTACCGTGCCAAATTCCCATGATTGGCTACCGAATCGGGGATCTACTGACCCGGGTCAATCTGGTTCCGCCAAGCTTTGCAAGATCCTGCAGGACCCTGCACCCAAGCCCGGGTCAGTGCGCCCTGGGCCCTGCAGGATCCTGCAAGATCCGGCGCTCCGACTGACCCCCGTTTGCATAGGCCCCCGTCTCTTGAGCCCCGACCGAACACACCCAGGGCCTCTCTGGCGAAAGGTCACTCCTAGAGGCCTCCTAGATGGGGTCCGAATGGATGGTGTCGGAGGATCGCGCCGCATCACCAATGCATCGTTGATGCATCGGCGATGCACCAGCGATGCATCGTCGACGTCGGCGCTACATCGGCGACGCCGACGTGAAGCCGATCGGGCCCCACATCGAGCTGCATCGGCGATGCATCGGTGATGCGGCGCGATCCTCCGACCCCATCTAGGACTAGGCCGGGCCTGTCCCCCAACAAATGGATTTGGGACGAAAAATAAGAATAGTCAACAAATACTCAACAATGGTCAAACAATAATGGACAAATCGTCCCCAGATTTTTTGTTTATTAGGCATAAACATAATCTTATTATGACTACTACTCTGACTATGATTATTATTACCACTACTATTACTGTTGATTCCTTTGTAGAACTATTATTGAATATTCCTTCTGTGGAGGGGCACGCCCGACTCATATCTAGGAGGCCTAGAACTCCTACGTGCAGTCGAGCCGAAGAGAGGCACGAAAGACGGTGCCTGCGCCCTTGCGCCCGGCCCCTGCGCCGCCGCTCCGCCGGGCCGGGCGCCCTGGCCCTTGCGGAGGGCGCACGGAGACCCCAGACGCGCGCGCGCCGCGACGGCACCACGACGGGAGGCTCTCGGAGACGAAGCCAGCCTCCTCCTCCTCCTCCTCCTCCTCCGCCTCCTCCTCCTCCTCCTCCTCCTCAGCCTCCTCCTCCGCCTCCGCCTCCGCCTCCGCCTCCGCCTCCTCCTCCTCCTCCTCCTCCTCCTCCTCCTCCTCCTCCTCCTCCTCCTCCTCCCCCCCTTCGGGGGAGGATGGCAGAGTCGAGAAACTCTGAGAGCCCGCGGCTCGGGAGGACGTCCCGGGCGCCGCGGCCCCCTCGGAGCGCCCCGAGAGCGCTCTGCAACGGATTCTTCCTCGTCCTCGCCCCGCCCGACGCTCGGCTGAAGTAAAGGTGGCGCCGCGAGGTCCTCTGGCACAGTCTTCCTCGGCCTCCAGAGAGGCGCTCCGTCGGCCCCCCTGGACCGGCCACGAGACTGCTCGGGACGAGAGGCCGGCTCTGGGGAAGGGGTCGGGCTAGAGAATCCAGGGTTCGCTAGGGTTCGGCGGCGAGGCGGAGGCGATCCGCACCAGCCGAAGACCTCTCAAAGCAGCCGAAGACCTCCCGAAACCCTCTGAAAACCCTCCGCAGGGTTTCGGGCGGGCTGTCGTCGTTCTGGGGTGAAGCCGATCCCTAGCCGACCGTGGGCTTTCTAGGGGTCGGGACTTCTGGGGGCTCCGCACGGAGAAGTCAAGACGTCGCGTGTCTGGGGCAAATGTCCGCCAACACCAGGCCCGGCCAGGCCTGCACACACCACGTGGCGGTAAGGCTTCGGGCTGCGCACAGACGCCCCCACCCCCCGGGCAACCCCCGCTGGCTTCCGCAGGCCCTCCCAAGAGTCCGGGGCGGTTGCGTTCGAGGCGTCGCTTTAGCGCCGCGATCTCCTCGTCCTTACGCGCGATCGCGACGCGACATCGTGCGAGCTTGGACTCGCACTCGGACGCGTGACGGCGGAGCTTGACGATCTCCGCGAGCGCGAACTCGACGCGTGCTCCGCGAGCGCGACCTCCCCAACCCTGGGACGCGGAGCGCCCCAGGGGCGCCGCCGAAGGCGGCGCCAGGGTGTTGAGACCGCCCTGGACTGCTGGGGGCCCCGTGGAGGCCAGCGGGGACCACCTGGGGGGACCCTCCGTGCGCAACCCGGCGCCTTACCACCCTGTGGCCAGGCTCGGCGGACACGCCCTGCCAGCTCAGCCTGGACGGTAGACGGCGCCGAGCCTGGGCCTGCAGAGGTCGGCCTGGCCAGGAGCCGTGCAGGCGCACACGGTTGGCGCCCGCCAGCCTTGAGGAGCCTGGGGTCGTCCAGCAGGTCGTGGGCGCCCCCCTTCTTGGTGGCGGGGGCCCCGTCGTCGTCCGAGTCCTGCTCCTCTCGGCTGCACGCAGGAGTGACCCTGGGTGAGAGTGGACTTTGGTGCGCGGCTTTTCGGGGGCCGCGGGGGGACCAAACCCAAGCGCGCACGACGCTGCTATCGCCTCGCGTTCGGCGATCGGGCACCCCAGTGGGCCCGCACCAAAGGTCACTCCAGCGAAAGGTCACTCTTACGTGTAGTCGATCCTCGTCGCCGAAGGAGAGCACCTTCTTGTTGCGCACGGGCGCCCTCCGGAACTGTTCTGGGGCGGGCTTGGCCCCCGACGAGGGGGGGGCCGGAATCGAGCGAGGCTCGAGGTCCCCGAAGGGGTCCCAGGTGAGCTCAGCCCTGAGCACACGCGGCGGATCCAGCGGCCGGTCGTGCTTGTCCACGGAGACGTCGTTTATCCGCACCAAGTTGTAGATGGTCTGCCCGACGACCTTTGCAAAGAGGGTGTGCTTCATATCCAACATGGGCGCGCGGTCGAGGGCGATGAAGAACTGGCTCCCGTTCGTCTTCGTTCCCTTCCCAGCGCTGGCAATGCCCATCATGCCCCTGTACCTGAACTTCAGCCGCGGGTGGACCTCGTCCGGGTAGGGCTCGCCGTAGATCGACTCGCTCCCCTCCCCAGTGTTCGTCTTGTCCCCCCCCTGGACGATGAAGTCCTTGATGACGCGGTGGAATATCGTCCCATTATAATAGCCCTCCAGGATGAGCTGGCAGAAGTTTCGACACGCCTTCGGCGCCTCGGTCGCCCACATCTCAATCTCCAGGTCGCCGTGGGTGGTGCGGAGCACGGCCTCTCGGAGGAGCGCCACGCCGGGTGGGGCGGGGCGGCCAACACAGGCGTGCTCCCCCCCTGTCTGGGCCGGGGGCTGCGCCCCCCAGGCCGCACGGTAATCCGGCGTAGACGCTACAGTAGGGGCTCGACCACGAGAAACCCTCCACAAGAAACGCAACCCTGAGACCCCAGGACGTCCATCGATTCTTGGAGTGGGAAGGCCACGCTCTCCATCGCAAAGCCATCGAGACCCAAGAAACCAGGGGCACCCTGGAGGCAAGCAGGGTGTTTCTCGGCATGGGTTTCAACTGTATGGTGCTGAGGCGAGAGCACCGAGCGGTAAGGTCAATAGGCGTGCGGGAGCAACAACAAAAAACAATGTGGGGGGCGAGCGGGGCGGCCCCCCATAGGACGGCAGGGGGCTTCTTCTCAACAGGGGGCTCGGAAGCTTCTCGGAGGACTTCGCAAGAGGCGGGATGGGGCCTCCGAGAGGCTCCCGTGCCTTCTTGGAAGACCGCCTCGCGGCGCCCCCCCCTTCCTGTGCGAGACAGCACCACCTGCGATGCAATCGAACTGTGTTTGTGTATACACGCACACACACACATACGTGTTTACACACCCGCGCACGTACATCCACGCGTACACACATACATCCAGACATACATGCACACATGCACGCATGCATACATATACACATATACACATCCACGCACGCACACATGCACACATACACAGATGCATATACCTATACACATACACGCATACATACGTACACGTATGCACATCTGCGTGCACTCGTACATTTCGTACACATACAAATGCACAGTACACTTATATCTACATATATATATATAGGTCAGAGTGAGGGGGCCGAACGGTCATTCACTGTCCCTGGGTGCGTGGCTGAAGTGAGATTCCGCGGTGCGGATTCGTGTTGTTGTTGTTGTTGTTGTTGTTGTTGTTGTTGTTGTTGTTGTTTTTGTTGTTTGTTGTTTGTTGTTTGTTGTTTGTTGTTTGTTGTTTGACGTTTGTTGTTTGTTGTTTGTTGTTTGTTGTTTGTTGTTGTTGTTGTTGAACATTATTAATTCTAAAGAATAATTGTTGTTGGGGCCCCTGGTGCGCGCCCCCCCCGCCGCGCCTAGGCCGCAGCCACGTTTTCATCATTTTCGTGAGGAAGCCTCAGGCAAAACGATGTGGTCCAGATCCGGTTGTTTTGTTGACGCCCGCTTTCCCTTGCAAAAAATAAGCTAAAGTGGACATTTCTTGTTCTAACATAACCAAACTTCAAGAATCCCTTGCAACAAATAAGGTAAAGTGGACATTCGCGCGCGCAAGACGAAATCCTTCCAAAACCTTAGTTTTCGTAGCGATTTTAACATAAAAACATCAAAAAACCAATGGTTTTTCAACAAAAAATGTCAAAATTTCATCCCGCGCGCTCTTGCGGATTCGTAGGAAACCCAACACTTTTTAAACATTTCTGTCAAACGGGCTTTTGCGAGCAACTTTTTCGAACTTCTGCAACAACGGTTGCGCACCTGCCAGGGCCATCATCCCTGTCAAATAATACCATGCGGGACACATTCGTTTTTTCTTCGCGCGCGCACGCCGTCGTCGTCGGCCGCGGGGCCCTGAATAGTAGCCACGGTCGTCCGCATGCCACGAAGTGAAGTGTCCGAACGTCATAGGGCGGGAAGCTGGGTGTGGGTGGTGGCGAAGAGTCGTTTGGAAATTTGGTAGAGCTTGAACCGGCCCCCCCACAAAGTGGGGGTATTGCCCGCCTCCTATGAAAACCCTGGCACTGGTGAGAACGGAGTGTCCCCATGTGCTAGTAATTGTTGTTGTTGTTGTTGTTGTTGTTGTTGTTGTTGTTGTTGTTGTTGTTGTTGTTTGTTGTCGTCGTCCCACCCGCAACCCGCCCCGCGACCCACCCGCGACCCACCCCGCGACCCACCCGCGACCCACCCGCGACCCCCGCGACCCACCCGCGACCCCCACCCCGCGACCCACCCCGCGACCCACCCTGCGACCCACCCGCGACCCACCCGCGACCCACCCGCGACCCACCCCACGACCCACCCCGCGACCCACCCGCGACCCACCCGCGACCCACCCGCGACCCACCCCGCGACCCGCCCGCGGCCCACCCCGCGACCCACCCGCGCGACCCACCCGCGACCCACCCGCGACCCACCCGCGACCCACCCGGCGACCCACCCGCGACCCACCTTCGACCCAAACCACGTTCAAGGTACAAACCAACATTTTCGGCGCCTGCGGCGGGCTTTTTTTGCATTCCTTCCAGGTGGAGAGCCCGCGACCCACCCCGCGACCAACTCGCGACCAACCCGCGACCCAAACCACGTTCAGGGTACAAACCACATTTTTCGGTGCCTGCGGCGGGCATCTTTTGCATTTGTTCTAGGTGGAGAGACCGCGGCCCACCCGCGACCACGTTCAGGGTACAAACTACATTTTTCGGCGCCTGCGGCGGGCATCTTTTGCATTCGTTCCCGGTGGAGAACCCGCGGCCCACCCGCGACCCAAACCACGTTCAGTGTACAAACCAAATTTTTCGGCGCCTGCGGCGGGCTGCTTTTGCAGGAGGACGAGGAGGAGGAGAAGGAGGATGAGGATGAGGAGGAGGAGGAGGACGAGGAAGGGGACGACGACGACGACGATGACGAAAAGGAGGAGGGGGGAGGATCGGGAGGGGGGGAAGAGGAGGAGGACGACGAGGAGGAACATGACGACAATGGGAGGACGATGATGGAAGGACGAGGGGGGCAGAGGGAGGACGAGGAAGAAGCGGAGGAGGAGGAGGACGAGGTGGAGGAGGACGACGACGATGACGATGACGATGAGGACGAGGACGAGGAAGAGGAGGAGGAGGCGGAGGAGGAAGAGGAGGAGGAGGACGAGGAGGAGGAGGAGAGCGCCATCGACAAGGAAGGTGGGGGCCACGAGGTCCGCCAGCTTGACGACGCCCGCGTCGCCCGCGCCCGCCCCCTCACTCTTATCCGCAATTGCGGGGTGCTACGTAGGTCTTTACACTAGAACGACGCGTGCTTCACTCGCGCTTAGGTACTCGCACATACCAAGGAAGCGATACAACACATCGGGCTCCTACACCTCCTCCTGCTCCCTGTTTCGCAGGCGAGAGATGGGCTATCTGTTTTGGGCCCTTTGGGGCTCTCACGAGGCCGTCTGGAGACATCTTGGAACATCTCGGGGCGATACTGGGCCGTCGTGGGGCCTGCTTGGGCTGTCTTGGGGCCTGCTTGGGCCGTCTTGGGGCCTGCTTGCGCCGTCTTTGGGAGCGCTTTGGGGCGGCAAGGAGCTCGTCTGAAGTCCTCTGCAGGCGCTCGGAGCCCACCAGGGGCCGTCTTTCTTGGGCCAGCTGGGGGCTCTCGTGGGCCCTTGTGCTTGTGTGGCTCTATTGGACCCTCTCTGGCTACTCCGAGGCCCTTGTGAAATTGCATCGAACCGAGATTGGAACATACCAGAAAAAATGAAAACTGGAATAACGCCACACGTGTTGTCCTTATCTGTTTCACAAGGTCACGGGGCTTTGGGCACCCACTCCCTTTCACGGCTAGATGCGCACATGTGTATGAAGTATGCGGGCGCGTCCCCACCCGCCATGGCTCGAAACTATCCGCATCCACTGCCTCCTGGGATCCTGGCTCACTGTCCCCCGAGGCGATCGGCACGGCACTCGCACGTACTCCGAGTTGTTCAATCAGCGTGGGGGTGTAGGTCGCGTGAGGGTGTAGGAAGGAGCTGCCCAGCACTGAGCGTGGGAGGGTCGGATCGCGCGAGGGGGTCGTTTCGGCGCACGTGGGGGGGCTGGAACGGGCAGTTGGGCGGAGTGGCATGGGCAGGGTGCTCATTGAACAACGTGGAGCAACATGTGAACTCTGGCCCCAGAACTCGAGAAACAACAGGGTGCCGACACCGCTACTCCCCGGACCTCCCCTGGGGCGCGTTCGGACCAGCATTTCGAAGAGAATTCGGCCGTGGCGACGATGGACCTCCAGGATGAACACGAGATGTCGGTATCTTCTCCTCCCCTCTGGCGGCCGTTCGAGACGACCCGGGCACCCCGGGCACGCGCTCGGCAGGGCGCAGCTGCCGGATCGCATCCCACGGCTGGCAACCCGCCGAGAACCAACGGGAACGATCTCCAGGACGAGTGGCCATCGCTCGGATGTCCATTCCCTGTGCTTTTTTCGATTTCGTGCGTGGTTTTTTCGCCAAATGATCAAGGATGCTCCTCGATGGTCCTCGCCGGAAGAAAAATGCACACGTCCGAGCGATGCCAAGGACGAGTGGCGGTATCAAAATCTCCCCTTCTCCCGACGAGCGACGGCGCGCACGAGGGGGTAGGGGGAGAGGGGAGGGCTTCTTAGAAGGAAGCAGGCTGCTTCTTAGATGGCGCCGGCCTGGCATCTATAAAGAAAGCCCGCGCCCTGTAATCAAGAAGCAAGGGTGTTTCCGAGAAGCCTTCCCCCCTCCCCGCATGTCCTCCTACAGGCGGTGTCTGGAAGAAAAATAGGGCACAGCCAGCAACAGTCAAGAAGAGAGCCAGCAGAACACGACGAATCGCCAACACGCTATCTTCTCACTCGTCTCGCGTGCTGCTCCTGCAGATGGCCATGCCCGACTTATAAGCCCTGCCCCCCTCCGCGCGCGGCCGAGAGGCGCCCCGCGCGAGCCGCCGGGCCTTGCCATTGGTGTTCGGCTCCTTGATGTAGACCTCGGACATGCCGCGCGGTGGCCTGGGGCTGGCGCGGGCGGCCGCCGGAGCACCTGTCGCATGGGGCCGCGCGGGGAGCGCCCGGCTGCCCCCCCTCCCTTTGAGCCGAAGTGGCTGCTGCGGCTCCGAAGGTGAAGCCGTGCTCGGGGGGGGATGGTACCCCCTCGCTCCTCGCTCCTCCTCCTCCTCCTCCTCCTCAACAGCAGTATACTCCTCCTCAACATTACCCTCCCTCCTCCTCCTCCTCCTCCTCCTCCTCGTCCTCGTCCTCGTCATCGTCATCGTCATCGTCATCGTCATCATCATTATCATCACCACCATCATCATCGTCGTCATCGTCGTCGTCATCAGTATCATCATCACCACCATCATCATCACCATCCTCCCCTCCCCATCATCATTATCATCATCATCACCATCATCATCATGATCACCACCACCATATCATCACCATCATCATCACCAACATCATCAACACCATCATCACCATTCATATCATCACCATCATTGTCATCAGCATCATTATCAGCCGCATCATCATCATCATCACCGCCATCGCCATCGGCATCATCATGATCAGCATCATCAGTCATCATCATCACCATAACCGTCATCATCAGCATCATCATCGTCATCGCCACCATCATCATCATTGTTATTATCATCACTATCATCAGTATCCTCATTACCATTACCACCACCAACATCAGCATCACCATCATGGCCATTTTCATTATCATCATAATCATCATGATCATTATGATCATCATCATCATCATCATCATCATCATCATCATCATTACTATCAAACATCGTCATCGCCATGCTCAGCACAACCATCATCATCAACACCATCATGAACATCACTACTATCATCGCAATCACCACCACCATCATCATCACCATCATCATCGTCTTCTTCAGCATCATCAGCATCATCACCATCAGCACCATCACCGCAATCATCGTCATCACCATCAGCATCACCACCACCAGCACCATCACCATCACCATCACCATCATCGTCATCATCATCATCAGCAACATCACCATCATCACCATCATCATCACCATTATCGTCATTACCACCACCACCATCACGTCACCATCATCACCATCGTCGTCATCATCATCATCACCATCATCATCGTCCTCATCACCATCATCGTCATCGTCATCACCGTCATCATCATTACCACCACCATCACCATCATGAACAGCATACGTAACATCATAGTCATCCGAACCCCTACCATCATCTTTTACATCGTCATCACCATAACTCTAATAACCACCCTCTTCGCATGTGTCTTCCTCCTCCCTGTCTCACTTTTTCTTTGTCCTCCTCCTTCTCCTCCTCCTCCTCCTCCTCCGCTTCCCACTCCTCCACCTCCTCCGCCTCCCCCTCCTTTTTTCCAATTTATTTTCGTCCACTACGGGGTACCACGACTGCACGACTCCGAGGCGGCGGGCAACGATGCACCCCGCCAGCGGACACCCCCACCCTGCCCAGAGGAGCTCCTGTTGAGGTGGCGCGCTAGCTCGCTGCTGCCCATGGCGCGCGACCAGGAAGCGATCGCCTCCACCACCCCGCTCGCGGCCACCTTCTCCAGGAGCTCCTGCCCCCGGGGGCCGCCGGCGGGGCAAGGCCGCCGCCCAAGGGGGGCATCCTCGTCCCCCTCCTCTCCAGGAGACGGGGAGGAGGGGCAGGGGGAGGGGGAGAAGGAGGAGGAGGGGGAGGAGGAGGAGGGGGAGGAGGGGAGGAGGAGGAGGAGGAGGAGGAGGAGGAGGAGGAGGAGGAGGAGGAGGAGGAGGGGAAGGGGGGGGAGGGGGAGAAGGAGGAGGGGGCCCTTGCAGCGGAGAGCCAGCGGCCACATGCGCTGAGGCCGAGGGGGATTATGGGTGGAGAGAGAGGGGAAGGAAGAGTGGCAGGAGAAGGGGAGGGAGGAGGGAAGGAGGAAGGGCAGGGGGTGGAGAAGGAGGAAGAGGCCGATCGACAGCGTCGAGCTCGGCAACTGGACAAACAATTCCAGAGACCTGCAGAGAATCTGCCTAACTAGTAAGATGCGCTGCGTGGAAGTGGAGGGGAGTGCTTGAACTATCTGTTCGCCAACGTAGCCATCCCCCCGTGCGTTTCCCCCGATTCTCGTTTCCTGCTGCTGCGTAGAGGTAGTAATTCCAAGCCCTAGGGGTGCAAGGAAGAGGATAACATGGAGAAATCTGGCCGCCTGGACTGCCTCCATCTATTTCACCCTGGTTCGTTCACCTGGATGCTCCGCAGTAGCAGTAGAGGTACAAGGAGGAGGAGGAGGAGGAGGAGGAGGAGGAGGAGGAGGAGAGGGCGGAAAAAAGGTGTCACCCAGCCTTCCCCCCATCAATTCTGTCGATTCGTTCCCTTGGGTGGTGCGCAGTGCTGGCCCAACGATGCCCTAGAGGTGCAAGGAGACGACGAAACAAGACGCTGCAGCGCGCGCCAGGGGCAGGGCCCTATCGAGAGCGCAGAGGGGGACCGCGGTCCCTCAGATGTCGGTGGTACATGCGGTCTTCCAGAGGTCAAGCGAGATTGCCTCGTAAAGGATCGGACGGAGAAGGGATCGACTGACAGTCGTATCGTTCTCCTTCCGATAGCGTGGTAATCACTATTACCATACATCTGGTAATGACTTTCAGAACCTGAACTCCGTGGGATCACCTCGGCTCTGCTTTACCAGCCATTCGGGCGAGGTGAAAGAGGAGGAGGAAAAACACCAGCGTAAACCCAAGACGCACCAACGACGTTGCCATACACCCTCCCTCCCAGTTCCCTCTTCAATAAGTCCCAGACAAGATGTTGGCACTGCTGGAAGTGCCCTCTTGGACGACAATCGTCTTAGAATCCCACATCGTGCCAAAACACCACTCCCTGGATTCCAGCGCCGCGAACCATTTGCTGTTGCGTCCTGACGGTCCTTAATCCGCCGACCCCTTGTGAGTCTCTAGGCGTGTGAGATTGTTCCTTCCCCATAACCCCCCCCCAGGGACCCCAAACCGGAGATTTGACCCCCCCCCCCTGGCCCCGGACGAACGCGTCATGGGAGCACAGAGGGCCCCAGAACGGGCCAAGAGGGCCCCAAGTGGGCCCCAAGACGATCCAAGAGGGTCCCGAATTGTCGAATGATCGTTCCCAAACGCCCAAGATGGCATCCATACGGCCCAAGATGCCTCCAAAACGCCCCAAGAGGCCTCCAAGAGGCCTCCCAAACGGCACCGAAGTGAAAATTGCCCCATTTCCTTAGGACAAAGTATGTTTTAAACATGTTCGCCTCTTGCGCACACGGGTCCCAAGACCGACAAAGAAACCCCGATGACGGCCCCAGAGGGCCCCCAGACGGCGCCAAAATGGGGCCTACGGGGGCAACCCGAACCCACATTTCCAGCTTTCGGCCCCAGGACGCCCCCAGGTTGGCTCAAGAAGCCCCCAACACGCCCCAAGAAGCCCCCAGGGAGCCCGAACAGAGCCCCCAAACGCCCCCAAGAACCTCCCAGGAATCGAACAAGCCTCGTGGAATGCAGTCCTGGACGCGCAGTAGTTTATAGGGGGGTCGGCGGATGTGGCGTAAACCTATCGAATCTGGCCAAAACAGTTCGTGGGACTTCAACAGCGCGATACAACGTGACTGTTGCGCCCTGACAATCCTAACTCGCGCCAATACACCACTCCCAATACGTCAATCTAAGAACCCGTTAAACGGCTGTGAACTTTTAAACCGGCTGCGCACAACGCTATGGCAATAACCAAATCTTGATAATCACCAGCCCTCCATCCGTGAAGCTACTGCAGCAATTCAAGATGAAAATACGCGGCGCAAAAACGATAACCATGTTGAAACAAACGGTCCACCCTCTATCCGTGAACATTTGCAAGTTTGTAAGATGAGTATGCGCGGCGCTAAAGCGAGAACCACATTTTGAAAAACACATTGTCAAGATAAATGAACGCAGCGCTGGAGCGAAATTTGCATTTTGAAATTCATCCGCCCTCATCTGTGAAGCTCCTGCAACTTTTGAACGAACGTACGCGAATGTGCGCGGCGCTAGGGCAATAACAACATGATGAAAACCACCCGCCCTGCAACCGTGAATCTCTTGCAACATCTCACAACGAACGCGCGCGGCGCTGAGGCGATAATAACAACTTGACAATCACCGGCCCTCCATCCCGTGAAGCTGCCGCAAATTGTGAGGTTCAAAATCATACTTCGCAAGGGAACCTCGAGCAAAGCCCGGCCCGCCCTGCCAAGGCGTCCTGGGGTGCGACAGGGAGGAAGTGCTTCCAAGGAGCAGGGAGGGCATCGACCCCCCGTCTCGAGGCCCCCGACGGGCCGCGCCGAGAGCGGGGCCTGCGGGAGGGGGCCGTCTCCTCCGAGAGCACGCAGGTCGAGCCGAAACGCTCCCTCTTGCTGGTGAGCGTCTCCTCCCCGCGAGGGGGCCCCGGGGGAGGGGAGGAGAGGGAGCGGCGGGCGGGGATCCTCCTCCTCCTCCTTTTCCTCCTACTCCTCCTCCTCCTCCTCCTCCTCCTCCTCCTCCTCCTCCCATCATCCTCATGATCATCCTCATGATCATCATCACTATCTTCCTCACTCCTCCTCCTACATCCATCGCCTTCTTCGTCCTCCTACCACCACTTTCCTGCGCTATCCTCATCGTCCTCCTCATCACCATAACCACCATCACCATCACCGTCATCATTACCAGCATCACATCACCATCGCCACCACCATCAACATCGTCATCATCATCACCATCAGCATCCTAATCATCATTACCAACATGATCACCATCATCATCATCATCATCATCATCATCATCATCATCATTCTCATAATCATCATCACCATCGTCGTCACCGCCATCACCATCCTCATCTTCGACCTCATCCTCACCCATCATCACCATCACCATCACGATCACGATCATCATCGCCATCACCATCAGCATCACAATCACCACCACCACCATCAGCATCAGCATCAGCATCATCATCACCATCATCATCTTCATCACCATCATCGTCACAACCACCAGCACCATCATCATCATCACCACTACCATCACCACCACCACCACCACCACCATCATC